TGGGTCTTCAAGAAACATTGGGGAAAATGCTTTATGCCACTAGAATCAGCTCGTCGAGCTCTATCGATTGGGGTACCTCTCGTTAGCATCTGTGATTAACACTTGGGATAGTTCCCTCGTAAGACGAAGTAAAGACAGCTGCTCTACAAAGTAATATAAGCCTCGTCGCTCGTACTGAATGTCAGTGTAATGGTGGTAGATTTCATGTAGATTGAATCAGATTCGATTTACTGTGGAAGCGCTCATTTTCTTCTACTGCCTGCACTATTGCACTCTTTTGAAACGTCTATAAAGTGATCATCATAGAGTGTAAAATACCTGCTCTGCAGTCATGTATTTCTTTCAATCATATAAATCATTGATTTACAACTAATTCGAAGAGACACAATCCGTAAGTGAAAGATGATATTGATGATAATTATAATAGAAGAAACGGGTTAAGTATAAAATTTTCTGCCTGTCCGCTTTATGATGTTGTTTCTGATTCGTTGTTCGAAGTATAGTAAGCCTTCAGTTGTTTCGGCATTCCCAGAACGCTGCTTACGATGATCGTAAACGGACGTAATACGTCAAATTACGACGTCGTAATTCGTTGTAATCTGGCGTGTTTCGTGGAGAAGTATCACGATAATCGTAATACTGTCATTGTATTTTGTCGTATTGCATAATAAACCACAGTTTACGCCAGTCATAATCCTTCTCCACGGTTCCTTTCGTCGTATTTTGACGTAAAGTGTAGTTTACTGCCATGAGGGTTCGCCCTGGGTTTGTATTTTCTCTGTAGCCTATTTTTCTCCGTCCAATTTTGTTGTACGAGCTAGTACGATTTATTGCGTAATCATGTTTATTATCTTCTAAAATATCTTGTTTTTTACAAAATTTCGTCTATTAACGTTAATTATCATTGTTAAAAATATGAATAAATAGGTTTAAGTGAACATTACATACCTTCTCCGCGTGCTTGGTCAGGAAAATCGTTGCTCCACTGCTCTACTCTATTAGCTTTCACACACTATTCAGATTCTTGTATTTCAAAGACATAGCTGATTTTTCTAATGATATGTATTGTTGGATAGTAACACTCTCGGATGTTAATTTGAGTGGTTAGAGATGTTGACCACAATTATAGGGTTGATCACATGGTTGGTTTTCATTTATAGATAACAAAAGTGTGAAACACAGTGAAAAAGAGAAGTTTTTTGCTTTGTATTGACATGAAAAAGTATGTGGAGAAAGCAAAAAAAGTCGTTTATATACATCCTTTGTACATGCCAGCGTCAAACCTATCTTCTGTTTGGTCTCGTATTGTTATTATCCATTTGTCTATTTGTTTTGCAGTTCGTATTTGAATTTTTCCCGAAGGTTGATGATAGACAGAATCGGTTGCATGTACTGAAAAGCTTTCTAACGGTACCATATTAAGTCCTTTGAGTGTGACTACGCGGCCAACGTTGATCCTAGCACAAATAATAGCACCGTTTCTATGCCTACTTCGTTCAATCGATATAGTAAAATAAACATCAGGTGCAAGTGTTAAAGTTCTTGGGCCTGTCACTGTGAATCCATCACGAGCTATTTTATAGGCATCATTTTTAGTTGTTTGATAGAAAGCAATAACAATCTGATTATCGTTTATAACAGGTATCTGTCGTGGCACAGCCAATGAATGGTACAACAGAAGATGATGTAAACTTTCTGATTCACAGTTTGTTAAATCACATAGTGATGCATTCCACTCTGTTGTTTGTTGATCATTAACTATTCCATATGGAATAAAACGTAAATGGGAACGATATGTTTGGTATCCAGGAGTATTGTATTGATTATTGGGTGAATATGTCCATAGACGAAAAAAATGAGCTGTTTCAGTCACAAGAGTCATTGTCGACGATGGCAATGATAAACTACTAGTAACGGTATAAGCCACTGCTCGTGGATTGTAACGACTAGCGCACGATGCACCAAGGACAAATGCAATAAATCGCAAAAAAAATGACAAGAATAAAATAAAAAGACGTGTTAATAATATTGCCTGTGGATGTTCATGATAACAATAAAATTTAAAACAAGTCATTGTTGATATACGCCATAGTGTTCGACGTCGGCAGCAAATGTTCAGTTGATCACCAGGATCAAACAAGTTGTTACTACAACATTTAGTTATCAAATAAAGACAGTTTAATAAAAATACGATGAATGAACTACATAATTCAATTAATAATATGGGTACTAAATACGCTAAACTTGCTCGATCTATCGAACTACGATCAGATACCGCTGATAGATCTGAATATAAAATAATAAATCTTATCCAGAACGTTACGCTCTCAATTAAATGAAAAATAATCAGTAAACAATATCGATTTCTATCATTAAAAAAATTAATTGGTGAGCGAAAGGATATTGGCATGATATGTCAGTAACTAGTTTTTATCATGCATTTCTTCCTGTCAATAGAGATAAAAATCAAGAATTCTGTTTTACCTATACAGAAGAAAAGAAATTGTGAGCATACACGAATAGTCATATTGTTGATAACAGGGTAAGTACACTAGTAAAGAGAAGAAAAAAAAGACAAAGAAAAAGAACAATATAAAATCGGAGGCGTTTCATTGAAAGAACATCGTACAGTAATGCTATATTCTACGAATATATTACAGTGGTAAAACAATCATTTTATACAATTTTGTCCTTAATTATGATCAATATACATACCACTGTTTTCTAAGATATTTACTTCTTTCTCTACACATGTTTTAGAATATCAATATGATTTTGAGAGATGACATAAGACGTCATCGATACTTATTGCTTTTTCATTTCATTGATAGTTTTACATTTCTTCTACGATTTGTAATTATATGTACAGATTTATCAGCGGCATCTAATCGCAACTCATTTTCAAGTTTATCATATTCGATACCAATACTCGTTTTAGAACTGATCGGGTCATTAACAATATTTTCAGCCAATATTCTTTATATACTATTAAGATATATTGGTACAATACTATACGAAAGTGATGATGATGATATCTGTATACGAAGAAAATATTTATGGTCATTATCAACGCTGACTTGTTTTAAATCGATTAATTTTTATTATAATCATCCACAAGCTATTTTATTAACTAGGTTTGGTATTTTAATCGGCTGTTTTCTATTAAGATTTATTGCATTTGTATTAAGTTGTGAATGTGCACGACGGTATAGTCCAAGAGGTATTGCATACGCTGTGATTGGTTGTGTATCACTTATACCATCGTTCGTGACAATTGTTATTGAATACTTACATTATAGACGTTTATGGTCATATCGTCCTAATGCTGATTATAATGTTCAAACACATCCATCGCATATCCGCTACATTCCATATCCAATAACAAATGACCAACGTACAACACGCTGGCGTGTTCAAAAATGTCCAGTAGAAAATTGTACATCCGATAATCTTAATCATATTCTTATATTTCATTCATCTGATAGACAATATCGACCGCAGGGAACGGGCGATAATCAAATTGTTATAGGTTTTCATCAAACGAGAAAGGAAGTTGCCTACAAAATCTCTAGTGAAGGTTTTAGAACGGGTCCAATTGGTATGATGGGTCCCGGAGTTTATTTTGCGACATCTCTTGATCATACGGAATTTAAAGCAAGACAGTTTGGTGCTTATATATGTGCTAAAGTTAACCTTGGCCGAGTATTCCGAACAACACAACGTGGTGTAGTGCCACCGGGAAGTACTTATGACACAATTTACTTTGTACACCCAGAGGGTTCTGATGAGTTTTGTGTTCTTCGAACAGAACAAATACTAGTATGGATCATCATAGTCTATCAAGATTCTCGACTAAGGTTTGAAGACCAGTCTATACACGATCGTTTTGATGGTAGCGTATATGAGGGATGCCTTTAACTTTTTTTCACAATTTAATCATTTATTTCTGAGTTTTCAACATTTCCTCGTGTCACCTTCACAATAACTGCCATGCTTTACGCTTAGTGTCTAACGTTGTTGAATAAGAATATAAACAATTATGCTATCCCTTTTCTTGTGTTCTATGTTTAGTATTGCAGAAGGCATGCGACTAAAGGCATTTGGAAAGAAAGATGAAGAAATAATGGGTCTCGACTTTGATTCTAACCCAAGACCTTCTGGTAACAATTCAAAACCTCTAACCACTAAACTGACGAAGGAGAGTCTAATCGTATACATACTCCGTTTTTATATGATGAAACTGCTTCAAAATGGTCCTGGGTTCCAGTCGCATTTTCCTCCACTTTTCCTAAGCTTTCTAGCAGTCTACGTTTTGTCTCAAAAGAATATTGACCTATATTTCAAAAATCGGCTAATTATACAACCAAGGTTAGTAACACTGTTTTTCTTCTTTATTTGCTACAATTTTTGGTTGATCTAAACACTACGAGAAATAACTATTTTCCTGAAGAACGCTTATTACTATTATTTTTTCAAAAAATGGCACTCAAAGTCGTGGTTTTATACATAATTTATATACTGTAAAAATTAACGTATTGACATCACAAACTATCTTCACTGAAGGTATATAGAGAGAGCTGAGAGTGTAACACATTATAGTACGTTGGCTTGAAACACTGTTTTTCTTTGAAACACTGTTGCGAAGTATTATGCGAAATCAACAACTTGACTAACAAACTACGGACTGATCTTTTCTTTCTTCAACGTGTTTTCCTGTTATATGTATCAGTTGAACATTGATGCTTTATTAATTGATAAACAGTTATGTATGAAGTGCTAATTTTATACAAGTTTGTGTCTAAAATGATGCTAATATGTCATATCATACACTGTTCTATTTGGAAAACAACGTTTGTTTTCGCACCATAGAACGAAGAGTATCAAACTGATAAGAATTCCATCTGTTTATTAAACTGTTATTTAACAAACGAAGAAATTATATTTTTTTGTCAAAATCTTCATTCAGCTTATGCGAAAGATAATATCCAGTAAGACCTTACTCAATATCCTGATAAAGTAAATTGAATCATATAAAAGTTTCGAGTATTGCACTTCACGAGAAGAACAAATTTATAGCGATTTATTTCAATTCTTCATCTAATTCCCAACGTGTACGATTCTAGTTATTTCTGGTGTGTCAGAATGTCGAGTTATCTTGCCCACAAGATGAATAGACATTTCGAGGAACATGTAGGATTTCTTTTCTTATTTAATTCTAACGCATATTCATTTGCGGATATATAAGAAATATATCACAATTGGGAAGGCATGCATCATTTTTAAAAATCACGCTATTCCGTTCAGACCTTTTCTTATAGTTAAGCTGCTGATGTAACGACGTTCGCTACTACGAAAAGAGTCAACAATCTACTTTTTGTACTCTGCAAGAGCATAAAAATGATTTTTATGCAAGTAATTGTAGCGTTTCTTATTATTAGTCTTCCTTTTTTCTGTCCGATTCAATAAAATTGATATTTTATATCTGTTCAATTTTGAAGAACTATATTGAATAACAGCAGTGCTCGATACAAGCTATAGATGGATATTCTTTTTCTCCTTCTGTTCGTTTACTAGGATAAAATACAAAAAGAGAAAG